CGACCCCGGGCACAACCGCCACCGTTGACAGGTTGCTGGTGGGGTTGGTGGGCTCCGAGCTGGAGGCCATGCCCAAGCCAGAGCCTGCACGGATGGAGATGATGGGGTGGTGGAGACCTTCCATGCACTGCTCTGGAAGGGACGGGGGGCCACCACGAGGAGACGGGGGGCCACCCTGAGGCAACGGGGACCACCACAAAGTGATGGGGATCCACCATGAGGTGATGGAAGACCCACCAGCCCTGGAGATGCCACCCCCACGTCTCCAATCCCTTTGGCACCTACTTGACCTAGCACGCCTTCCTAAGATGGAGGTTCATTAACACCCCAGACTGGTGTCCCACACGCCTTTTTGGGTCCCACCACCACCCCCCCCCATCCTTGTGGACCTCAGAGAGGGACAACATCTCCTCCAACAGCTCTAATCATGTCTTGAATTCCTTAATCTAAGCTGGTTTTAACGAGGGTCGCAGCCACCAGCTGGGGGAGGGGACACATGGGGACACGCTCCTTCCATGGGAAGAGGGTGTAGACCCCAGGAGGAGGATCTGGGGGTACCTGGGGGTATCTCCGCTTGATATTGTTCAAGGTGCCCTCAGGCAGCTTGGCCAGCTCTGTGTCCCGGACCGCGTGGACTGTGGTGGCCCGGGGCTGCCGGGTGAGGGCTTCCACCTGGAGAAGAAGACATATAGCCACAGTGTGTCCACCAGACGTATAGGATGTCCATCGCTTGGCCCCAACACGGCTCTCACCACGCCAATGAGGTCCCCGCGGCCGTACTCCCCAATGAGCTCTTTTTTGCCGCTGCCCTTCTGGATGACGGAGCGGAGCCGCCCGTTGAGTGCGATGTAGGTGCAGTCCGACTTGTCCCCCTGCCTGGGGGACACCACCAGTGGGACCTCAGCCCCATTGCCAAGGTGACCCTCCCCAAGCGGAGGTGGGCACCCACCCGTTGGTACCCACCTGTAGAGCGCCCGGCCGGCTTCCACCGCCATCCAGTCGATGGCAAAGTCCATCTGGCGGACGAAGGGTGACATACGGGCAGCCACGGTGTGGGCGACGCTCAGCACCACGCTGGGCTGCTCCCGCATGATCCTATGAGTCAAGAGCAGTTGGGGGACATGGTGGTGGCCCCACAAGATGCCACCACAGCACTCACCGCAGGAATCCCCTTCGGCATCGACCCCTTCCCCCCAGATCTCCTCCGCTGGTGCCAGGACTCACTCATAGAAGTCCGACTTGGAGATCTTGAGGAAGGTGCAGTCACGGTTGGCTTTGATGGTGAAGATGAGGGGCTCGCCGGTCAACACGGCCAGCTGTCCCACCATCTCGCCGGGCTGCGTCAAGAAGAGGCAGACGTCCTCCGCCTTGTCGATCATCCGCTGGTACACGTGCAGGCAGCCCCACAGCACGAAGTGGAGGCTCACGTCCTGCCCAAAATGGCACCCTGTCACCGTTGGGGGGGACCACCTGGGACACCCAGGCAGAAGGGGTCCCACCAGCACCACTTGGGGGTTTCTTCTGGTCCTCTTCTGGAGGTGTTTTGAACCCTCCAGATGGCTCTGGGGATCATTCCTTCCCCCCACCACCCACAGAGGAGCACCCCATGGAAATATAGGGTGGGGGGAGCAAGGTACCACACCAGCTCCCTGAAACCCAGACCCACCTGGTCCCCTTGACGGGCGATGACCGTCCCGGCTTTGGCGTGATGAAGCAAGACACGGTTGTTGAGGAGAGAAGGGTCCTAGAGGGAAGAATGGCATCATGTGAGGTGATGGGGACCACCATGAGGAGACAAGAGGGCCACCAAGAGGCCACGAGGACCACCACGAAGCAATGGGGACCACCACAAGGAGATGGGAACCAACCACAAAGCCATGGGGGACCACCTTGAGGAGACAGAGGACCATCGCAAAGCGATGGGGACCACCATAAGGAGATGGGGGACCATCCCAAAGAGATGGGGGACCACCCTGAGGTCATGGGGACCACCACAAAGCGATGGGGACCACCACAAGACCACAGGGACCCACTGGGAAGCAACAGGGACCACTAGGAAGCAAAGGGGAACCACCCTGAGGAGACAGAGGACCACCGCAAAGTGATGGGGACCACCACAAGGAGATGGGGGACCATCCCAAAGAGATGGGGGACCACCCTGAGGTCATGGGGATGACCACAAAGCGATGGGGACCACCACAAGACCACTGGGAAGCAACAGGGACCACTAGGAAGCAACGGGGGACCAACATGAAGTGACAGGGGGCCACGCCGAGGAGATGGGGGGCCACCACAAAGAGACAGGGGGCCACCATGAGGTGATGGGAGACCCATCACAAAGCAATGGGGACCACCACAAGACTACAGAGACCCACTGGGAAGCAACAGGGACCACTAGGAAGCAACGGGGGACCACCACGAAGCGATGGGGGGCCACCACGAGGCCACAATTCCCCCGTGCCAGCACTTTCGGCCCTCACCTCCACCTTCATGAGCTTGACCAGCTCCCGCTTGGCAGCCTCGAAGATGGCGCTGGTCTGGCGGCCCTGGTAGGGTCCGAAGGGACAGTCCCCGGTTGCTGAATCGTCCTCGCAGTAGTTGTAGTGGTAGACACCAGACGGTTGCTCTTCCACCGTCACTGACTTGCGCTCCTTGGGCTCCTGAGAGATGGACTATGGGAAGACAGGACAGCTCCAGCGCCCAGCCGTGGTGGGGAGAAGTTGGGTGGGGATGTGGCGTTGCTGGATCCGGCCTTACCCGGGAGAAGGCAGCCAAGGCGCCGGTGCTGTCCTCCTGCAGCGACACCGAGATGCGCCCACGCTCGTAGGCCATGTCGAAGTCGGAGCGGGGACCCTTCTGGATACCTGTGATGGGTGACGGAGGGGACACCGGTGGCCGGGATGGGGATGTTGAGGGGGGGGATGGACACATAAGCACGGAATGGGGGGGATACACAAAGTGGGGAGGGGGTTGCACGAGCGTGGGGACCCCCCAACCCTTCCTCCAGAGCCTCCAACCCACCGGAGATATCCACCGGCATGGAGATGCAGCGGCTCAACGGTGGCGGCGGCGCGGGGGGCTCCACGCCTTCGGCCTTCAGCGGGGCGGC